ACAAATCATAGGTTATAGGTGAATATGTAATGCGCTTATAATCTAATATTCTGAATTTGGATAAAGCCAAACTCATCTTTCAATAAGCAGACAAGGAAGAAAGAGATTCCTGTTTCTGTCTATTTTTCAAAGCCATTATATTTCTATTTAACTTTTCTCTACCTAAGATGATCTTGAAAAGAATAATTATTTGTTTGCACCAAGTTTTAGTTGTAGCACATGGGATCTTTGATCTTCATTATGGCACATGGAATCTTTTTTTTTTCTTTTAATGTTTTTAATATTTACTTTTATTTATTTGGCTGCATTGTGTCTTGGTTGCAACATGTGGGATCTACTTCCCTGACCAGGAATTGAACCTTGGCTCCCTGCATTGGGAGCTCAGAATCTTAGCCACCAGACCATCAGGAAAGTCCCTACCTGAGATCTTTGCACAAACAAGATAAGCTCTTTGTTTATAATTTCATCTATTTCACTGTCAACCTGTTCAGTTCAGTTCAGTCGCTCAGTCATGTCTGACTCTTTGCGACCGCATGAATCACAGCACGCTAGGCCTCCCTGTCCATCACAAACTCCTGGAGTTTACTCAAACCAGTATAATACCTACTAGCATAGTTAATAGTCCTGTAGACTAGAACATAATCAAGGGAATGCTATATTATACTTTTTTATTTTCACTCACTGAAATGTGGACAAAGAAGATATAAATGATGTATANTTCCACAGTTTATTGTGATCCACACAGTCAAAGGCTTTGGCATAGTCAATAAAGCAGAAATAGATGTTTTTCTGGAACTCTTGTTTTTTCGATTATCCAGTGAATGTTGACAATTTGATCTCTGGTTCCTCTGCCTTTTCTAAATCCAGCTTGAACATCTGGAAGTTCATGGTTCACATATTGCTGAAGTCTGGCTTGGAGAATTTTGAGCATTACTTTACTAGCGTCTGAGATGAGTGCAATTGTGTGGTAGTTTGAGCATTCTTTGGGATTGCCTTTCTTTGGGATTGGAATGAAAACTGACCTTTTCCAGCCTGTTGAGGAGGGTGGAAACGTATCCATTCAAACTAGACCAGAAATTGAGAAGAGGAAGGTCATGTGTACAGAGAGCAGAGGCTGTCTTCTATTGTAGAAATGAGGAGCCCCACTCTTGGGCAGTACACATCTTGCTTTTGCAGTGAAAGTAAATGTGTTTCACTTCAGGGTATAGCAATTGCAGTGACCTAAGACAGTGGTAGCCAGAGCTCATTTGGTAAACACACGTTGCCCCTACTCAGATCTTGGTGTATTATAAAATGCTTTGGTGATGAACACTCTAGCTCTGACAGTGCTGAAATTACCCAGTTAAAACTCACTGTTAGATCAGAATGCCAAGGTAACTTTTGTGATAAAGGCCTTGTACATGACAGCAGCTAAATTGAATTTTTCAATTTTTTCAGAAGGTTCAGGCACTGGTTGTAAAATTACATGCTTTGCCTAATAAGAATGTGATAAGGCTATGCTTTAGTAGTAGTATTGATAAAGAGAAATTTCAGTTATTGAACATGATTCAAACCAAACAGTGTGCTAAAATTTTCTGTGGTTTATGTCACTTCATCCTTAAAGTAACCCAGTGAGGTTTGTAATGTTATTTCTACTTTGTAGTTTAAGAATGCGGGCTTAGTGTGATGAACCTGGATCAAGTCACACCAACAAGGGTTCAGAATTTGAACCCAAACCTACTTACCACCATATTAAGAAAACATCCCTTTCTTATACAGTCTTGAAGCTCTCCTTCAGGATGATGACAAAAAAGTGGTGACTATCTCCTGCCGTTTGTGGCGTGTGGTAGTGGTTCAGGTAATACCATCTCCCCCTGCTTGTTAATCTCTGTACTAAATATGGTTGATAGAGGGAAAATCAGGCTTTCAAGAACTGGCCAGATTATCTGGGGTAACTGTAGAATGACTCTGCCTTGTGATAGGGGATCCTAAGGCCGGAATCTATGACTGAATTTAATAGGGAGCTTCATGGAGAATTTGGACTATGTTGTGTGTGTTTGTGAGGGAGAGGGAGGCACATAGAGACACCGAGATTCACTCAGAGAGGGATCGTTCCTTTTTGTTTTAGCTAAACCATTTTCTTCTATCTTATTTCATGAAGAGCAATTAAAATATATTTTATTTTTTAAATAAGGAATAAGATCATTGACTTTCTCTTACCAGGCATTTGTCACCACATGGTCCTTGTTGAAGAAGTGGGTGTTCCTTGTCTACTATTGTTACTCTCATGAGAGTGAGGGTGGAGAGCACTTTGAAAAAATATTTGTGTAAGGAGGGGAGAAAGAAGTGAGCTGGATAAGAAAGTTTTTTTGCCTATCCAAAATTGAGGGCATTCTTGACTTTTATTAATAGAAGACATTTCCTTGAGGTTTAGATGCTACTTTCTCCAGGAGGCATTGTGTTTAAAGAAGTGACCTTATATTCAAATGGTCTCCATAGAGTCTTATTTTGTGTCTTTTTTTACTTTAGGGATTAAGTTCTTTTTTTAGGTTTCTAGGAAGGAAGATTGCCTGGGTATTAGCCCTTCAGAACTAGACTGCTAGGTTATGATGCTAATAGCAGTTATTGTGTGCCAAGCGCTATTCCAAACTTTATATGTATACATTAACTCAATCCTCACAACAGACGTTTGAGATAGATTTACTATTGTGCTTCACCAAATCTAAATGTGTTGATGCTGTATCTTGATTTTGCTAGAAGATGCTCTTGAAAGGTTTTCACACAACTGTATTTCTAGTGCCATTTTATTTACTAACAGTTGCAAGTTGTCATAGGTTGTAAAACTGTGAAATATAAGATACACTCTACTTATAAGAAAGTTAAAATAACAAAGCATATACATAATAGTATTAATAAAATAGGATATCATTCCCATTTTTAAAATGGAGACCCTGAGGCAAAAGACATTAAGTTTTCTAAAGTGACATGACTGAACTCACATGTGGGTGATTCAGTTCTAGAGTCCGTGCTCTTAACCTCCACTTCTTTCTGTTTCTCAACAATACATTGGAATTGAGCCCATGTTGACATGTGATAGACTTCCCAAGACCCACTTACTCATCCTTTCATTGTGGCATTCGTGATAGAAAGACACTGAGATTTTTCTGAGGGAGGAAGTATGTATGATGTGTATCTTTAGGGCTGTGATGAGGGTTTTGCCCTAATGCATGCAAACTGCTTGACATGTGGGCATCTGACATATTTTTAGTAAGAGCAATGCAATTGGGAAGGCTTGATGAACTGGCTTCCCAAGGATCAGTAGGTTGGAGTACTTGCTGGAAATTGTGTGGACGACATGTTGTTTGGGTGCCCCAGATTCTGCATTGTGTATTTTATTCTGTTCCCCTTTGTGCTCTAAAATGCCAACATAAAAAGAGATGGGAATACTAGACCACCTGACCTGCCTCTTGAGAAACCTGTATGCAGGTCAGGAAGCAACAATTAGAACTGGACATGNGACTGCAAGGAGATCCAACCAGTCCATCCTAAAGGAGATCAGTCCTGGGTGTTCACTGGAAGGACTGATGTTGAAGCTGAAACTCCAATCCTTTGGCCACCTAATGCGAAGAGCTGACTCATTTGAAAAGACCCTGATGCTGAGAAAGATTGAGGGCAGGAGGAGAAGGGGACGACAGAGCATGAGATGGTTGGATGGCATCACCAACTCAGTGGGCATGAGTTTGGGTGGACTCCAGGAGTTTGTGTTGGACAGGGAGGCTTGGTGTGCCGTGGTTCATGGGGTTGCAAGGAGTCGGACACAACTGAGCGACTGAACTGATACTGAAAAATAATTCATTATTTCCATAATTGAGGAGTGGGATGTTTTTTCTCCTGAAGAATAGGCTCCAGAGACACCACTCAGGACTTGAGTAACAAAAATAAGAAACAAAAATAATTTTTCATACGAAGATGGTTCTATGTGAAGACCTACCAGAATCTCAGACAAGAAACCTATCACCATCAATACCCTGCCAAAACTCTGAAAAAATCTCTATTAACAATTTGAAGACCTGCCTGTTCCCTGAAACCTTTTATGTCCTTACTGTTTAGAATTCTGGTCTCTGTTAACCCAAACCGGCCTGTTCATTGTGTCCAAGTTTGGACAAACTCTAAATAGCCTCCCAATTTCCTGAATGTTCCTTCCACCCAACTGAAATTTATATTTCATTGTTGGATCACAGATCAATGTTTTGCTGCCAGATCCTTGAGATAAGTCAGGAGGTGAGTTCTCAACCCAAGAGGGCAGTGTCACTCATCATGCCTTTCCCTGTTGTTTATTGTTTTCTCCTTGGACAGTGTCCTTTCTCCCAACCAGTATACTATACTCCAACATGGACAAACTGTTCAGTTATTGAAAGATACTATACTGTGGTGGAGATACATTTTTGAGTTCAGGTTGTCTACATTTGAGGTGATTATAAATAAAATTTTAAGTTTATTGATTTGGCATAAGTTTAAAACACCAAACCATTGCTTTTGGTGCTTCTGATTATCATTTTACTTTCTTAGTCTGACACTGAACATCTGATCAGTCAACTTGGACTTTTTTTTTTAATGTTTATTTTTTGGCCTCTCTGGGTCTTAGTTGCAACACGTGGGATCTTCAGTCTTTGTTGTGGCATGCAAAGTCTTAGTTGTGGCTGGTGGGATCTAGTTGCTTGAAAGTGAAAGTGAAAGTTGCACAATTGTGTCTGACTCTTTACGACTTCATGGACTATACAGTCTGGAATTCTCCAGGCCAGAATATTGGAGTGGGTAGCCTTTCCTTTCTCCAGGGGATCTTCCCAAACCAGGATCAAACCCAGGTTTTCTACATTGCAGGTGGATTCTTTACCGGCTGAGCCACAAGGGAAGCCGCCCCGTGTTCCCTGACTAGGGATCAAATCCAGGACTCCTGCATAGGGAACACTGTCTTTGCCTTTGGACCACCAGGAAAGTCTCAACTTGGACTGTTTTGAACCACTTTTTACCTTGAACCAGTTACAAGTGTTTTGATAAAGTTAGAGCAACTGTGGCCCGGTTGCAGATAGATTTAATTGGTCAGTGTTAACTTGATTCAGTAAAATTTATTCTGAACCAATCAAACCTCATATGTGTCTGTCAGAACCTGCTTGTCTAAGTGAGAGCTTATTTGAGCTAGCTAAAACCAGCCTGAGGCCTATTTGAGCTCTTGAAACCAGACCTAAATGGTTAGACACATGTGGTTTTAGCCAAAGTGGCTTTAGATCAATCAGAAATGGTTTTGTAGATAGAATGTCTTTGAACTTAACTCTTTCATTCTCAACCAGAATGAACCATTGAGGTTCTTTTGAACAAGTATGAATTGGTTAGAATGGATTGGAGTGTTTTATGTAATTTAAACCTGATTTTAGGCTGGTCATAACTCTTTTGAAAATGACGTATCTACTTAAAATTAATTGAAAATGGTTAGATTTAGCCAAAAAATAGGGTCATCTTTTCTGACTTAGTGAACTACTCTGAGCCAGTCAGCAATCTTTTGTGTCAGAAATGCATGTTTCAAGCTTCCCAGAGACTATTTCAGAAATTGCTCTAGGTCTTCAGAGCCCCATCTGATCTGTCCAGCGTGGGGAGATGAGCGTCAACCAGCATTGACTGACTACCCAGCATCTGCCAAGCATTGTGCTGGTCACTCCACAAAGAGTGTCTCATTCAATCCTTAGAACAATGGGGTGAAGTAGTGTACATTATCTTTTTCATAGAATGGAAGCCTGAAAATTCAAGGCTGCAAAACATCTGGGTAGCCGGTAGGTGGGAGATGTGAAATCAGTCTAGCTCTGCTTGACTTCAGAAATCACATGTTTCCTGTTAGGCTACCTTGTATGATACCAAATCTGGCCACTTAAATATTTATTTATTTATTTGTTTGTTTTTGTCAGGTCTTAATCATGGTAAAGTAGTATCTTTCACAGCGGCACACAGATTCTCTAGTTGTGGCACGTGGGCTCAGTAGCTCCATGGTATGTGGGATCTTAGTTTCCTGTCCAGAAATTGGATCCACATCCCCAGCATTGCAAGGTAGATTCTTAACCACTGAACCACCAGGGAAGTCCCCCATACCTGGTCACTTGTTAAGTCCAACATGCATTTGTAAAAACTTGAGTAATGGCCACAAAGCTTGGGGTAGAATAGACATTGGACTTAAAGTTAGGAGACATTTGTTCTAGACTGTACAAATGAGTTAAATTCTCTGGGTTCTGTTTTATTCTTTAGCAAACAACCCAGGAAATGGAAGGTCTGAACATTTGTTTTCAGGTCAACAGGCAGATAATTATCTAAGGGTGCAGTCTCAAGAATATAAACTATGATTAATATGAACAGTGGCGTCTGTACCGTCAGTTGTGGTATTTCATTTGTTAACACTTCTTTTATGTTGGTTTGGTTTTGAACAGACTGTTATGTATTGCTGTTACCATGAATAGAAAACAAAACCCATGAAGACCATTTATAGACTTAGATGTGTAATTCTTCTCCCATGATAACTAAACACTTTAAATTTTGGGGCCCTAAAGATACGTTCATCTGTCTTTGAATTCCATTTAAGTACGTTTAGAGAGTTCTAGAAGAGTGTGCCATTGATGACAACATTTTCTCCTGTACTTAAAATGATACAAAAACATATTTATAGAAATGATCAACTTTTTTTCAAAATAAAAAGAAACAGAAAACAAGGTAGCCACAGAAACGTCTTACATCACTCTCCTTGCAGAATTTGGAGTTGCTTTCTGCTTACTCATTTATTTGGAGGGGACCCCCCCACCCCGCCAAATGATTCAATGTTATCTGGACCTACTTTTCAATTCTCATCTCTTATTTATGAATAACTCGGAGCCAGTCAGATGCTGTGATGAGACTTGCTAGTCTTTATTTGGACCCAAGTGGTCATCTTCTGGAGAAGCGTTGTTATACACCATCAGGACTGGCAAACCCGCCCCTGTGAGTAGAGAAGCTGTAAATGGCAAGCCGTCATCTGCACTGTGTCACTCTTTACTGTGTGCAAACAGAGTGCTGAGTGTTTGAAGAGGCTCTGCCCTTGGTGACTGACCAGCCATATCTGATGTGAGGTTGTAGCTCTGCACTAAGGCATTCTGCAGAGGTCACTGCAGCAGCTCTTGGGAATCAGAATTCAGGATTTTTGAACATAAGGTGAGTCACCAAACTGAGGATGGGCTAGGGGAGGCAACCTGGAAAAGTCAGTGAATGTCCTTGCCTGAGCTTTTTTTATGTATCTATAGGAATAATCCAGTGGGAAGCATTGAGAATTGTGGTAAAGTTTCTGGATAGGAGCTGACTGGATGAAAAGGGGACAATGAGAGGGAGATCAGCAGAATTTTTTTTTCTTTATTTTGGCTACACTGAGTCTTCATTGCAGCGCATGGGCTCTTCGTTGCCACATGTGGGCTTTCTCTAGCTGTGGCATGCTGGGGCTTCTCTAGTTGCAGCACATGGGCTTAGTTGCCTGGCAGCATGTGGGATTTTAGTTCCCCCACGAGGGATCAAACCTGCGTCCCCTGCATTGGAAGGTGATTCTTAACCACGGGGGAGGTCCCCCAAACCATCAGAGTCTAATGCAGGACTTGTGATGTGTATGTGGATAGGTAAATGTGTATATTGAATGGGCAGATAGCATTGTCAGTGATAACAGGATGATTGCTTTTCTGATTTTCAAGAGGATTTATTGGTATTAGAAATGGGAGGACAAAAAGAAGTAAGCTTTCTCTGAAGATAGACTATGTTTCCAGTCAGATCAATATTTTGAATAGTTTGAAGCTATTTAAAGGATTAAAAATAAATCTTGAAAAGTGCTGATTGCAAAAGATAAAAGGTAACCATAGTTAGGTCTTGCTGGAAAAACAAGAATATTTCTTCTCAAAGGTAGACTTGTTTTGCCCAGTGCTGAAGAGCTGAAATAGCTATTTACTATAGACTATCAAGGCAAGTGTAGGTAAATGTGCCCTTCATGGTGGAACTCAGTTCTCAAGTGAGCAGTGATATTCCAGAAAGATCTGGTTTAATATGTAGCAGGTGACAATAATAACATGTGCCGCCGCTAACTTGCTTCAGTCATGTCCGACTCTGTGCGACCCTACGGACAGCAGCCTACCAGGCTCCTCCACCCACAGGATTTTCTAGGCAAGAGTACTGGAGTGGGTTGCCATGTCCTTCTCCAATAACTTGCAAGGAAGCTGCAAACCAAGTTTTATTAGCATTATCTTTGAAGGAACTGTAATGACATGTGAAAATGCATAGGACAAATGAAATTGCCTAGATGTCCAAGAGAAAAGCCAAGGATATAGCACTAGGAGACTTTGAAAAAGGAGGTAGTCGGAACCACTTGCGCTCTAAGAATTATTATTATTCCTGTAAACATTCTCTTTGGAGAAGGAAATGGCAGCTTACTCCAGTATTCTTGCCTGGGAAATCCCATGGACAGAGGAGCTTGGCAGACTATACAGTCCATGGGGTCCAAAAAGAGTCAGACACAATTTAGCGACTAAACAACAACAAACATTCTCTTTCTTCCTTTGTTTCGTGAACTTTTGTTCTACATGATCTGCGTAAAAGATAGTGACCATTATCTTCTTGATTTTCATTCTCAGTTGGGATTTTTGTCTTAAGGGTACTATAACAGCACAGCACAGTTCAGTAGCATCTTATGTAGCAAATGATTAAGTCTTTGGGACAGTGAATAATATCTAATCCTTTCTTCACAGAACCCTTAGGCATATAGGTGTTATGTAGAAGTACTTATTGAACTGGATATTAAAAGAAGAGGATTCTAATATTTTCTAATGAGTTTTTGGTAAATCTGAATTTGTTTGTATTTTTCAGGTGACATACTGAGTTCTTCATTATGTTTGATGGAGACTATGATTACCTTATCAAGTTTTTAGCTCTGGGAGACTCGGGAGTAGGGAAGACCAGTGTGCTTTATCAGTACACAGATGGTAAATTTAACTCCAAATTCATCACAACAGTCGGCATTGATTTCAGGGAAAAGAGAGTGGTAAGTTCTGCATCCTTCCATATAAAAATATAATCTCTGGGTCAACCTTTGCCTGTTTGTTTTGTTTACTTCATAGGAATTAGGAGGACAAAGGTTGGAATCTAAAATTAAAGGGTACGTATGAAAGTGTATTATGTTCATTCTGAGGAATGTAATTAAAGGCTGTAACTGAGGACGCTTCATATAAAACAAAGCAGGTAAAATAAAGTAAAAGTGAAGGTTTTTAAAAAATTTCCTTGATACACTTCTGGCTGGTATCTTCCTTCTGAATTCTACAAAGCTATTTGTCTATCTTTATTATGAAGCTTGCAAACCACCCTGCTCATTTTAATGGCTTTTCTGTTAATTAAGGCCTCAGAAGTCCCATTCACTAGGTCACGGACTCACTGACCCCACCAGGAGTGTGAGGTTGAAATATGGGTGGGAATGAGTGTGGATCCTGGAGGTAACCAAGGGAACAGTAGGGTTCTGCAGAATAAGAGAAGAGGTTCTTTTTAACAGTCGTTATTTATTTTTTTAAAGGACTGAAAGACAAGTTTTTCTGGGGATAGAGAGGAAGTCAGGAGATTGGTGTGTCCGGGAACTACATTTCTTACTAAAAAAGCAACCATTCCCATAAAGCAGGTCACCAAGCAGTCAGGAAGACTAAGGACAAAGACCCTTTGGTGGAGTGTATTCTGCTTGGGAAATATGCAGAATTTCTGGCTTCGAGGACAGAAGAATTCATTCTTTCTGACCCACCCTAAGTCTTTTATTCCACTACCAGAAGCCTTTTCTTCTTCTACCACTGTTTTTTAAAATTATTTTTAAATTAAGGTATAGTTGATATACAGTATTGTGTAAGTTTCAGGTGTACCATATAGTGGTTTACAATTTTTAAAGGTTATATTCCATTTATAGTTATTGGCTATATATTGGAGATATATATGTATATATATATATTATATATATATAGGCTATATTCCCTGTGTTGTACAATATATCCTTGTAGCTTATTTTATACCTTTGTCTTTTTCATGATTATTTTGGGATGCTTGCAATTTCAAATGAATTTTAGCATTAGCTTATTTCTACAAAGAAACCAGCTGAAATTCTGATAGGGGTTGCATTGAATCTGTAGAACAATTTTGGGAGTGCATGCATGCTCAGTTGTGTCAGACATTTTGTGGCCCCTGGCCTGTATAGTCCACCAGTTTCCTCTGCGCATGGAATTTTCCAGGCAAGAATACTGGAGTGGGTTGCCATTTCCTACTCCAAGGGATCTTTCTGACCCAGGGACTGAACTCACATCTGCATTGGCAGGCAGATTCTTTACCACTGTGCCACCTAGGAAGCATTCATATCTTAGCAATATTAAGTCTTCTGATTTGTGAACATGGACTTCTTTTGCCATTTAGATCTTCTTTAATTTCTTTCAACAATATTTTGTAGCTTTCAGAATATATTTTATACTTTTAAAATTAAATTTATTCCTAAGTATCTTAATCTTTTTATGCTATTGTAAATTAAATTGTTATCTTAATTTTATTTTTGAATTATTCTTTGCCAGTGTGTAGAAATACAATTAATTTTGTAAGTTGAGCTTGTATGCTGGAACACTACTGAACTTGTTTATTGTTTCTAATATAACCCGCATGTGTGCCTGTGTAGGGGGTGTCTGTATCTGTTTATTCCTTAGGATTTCCAATATACAAGATCCTCCTCTCTTCTGTTATACTTCTTCCTTTCCAAGTTGGATATGCTTTCTTTTTTTCTTTGCCTAATTGCCCTGATGAGTGCCTCCAGTAAAATTTTGAATAGAAATGTTGCAAGAGAACATCTTTGTCTTGTCTTTGATTTTAAGGAGAAAGCATTCAGTTACTGTTAAAGTATAATAGAAGCTGTGCGTTTTTCATAGATGGTGTTTTTCAAGTCCAGGTTGTTATCTTCTATTCCTAATTGTTGAGCATTTTTATTATGAAAGGTGTTGGATTTTTTCAGGTGCTTTTTCTGTATCTATTGAGATGATTGTGTGGTTTTAGTCCTTTATTGTAGAACTGTTCTGTTCCATTACAAATCGATATTGATTGGTTTTTGTATGTTAACCCAACCTTATTCTTATGATAAATTCCACTCAGTCATGGTGTATAATCCTTTTTATATGTTGTTCAATTCTGTTTTCTGGTATTTTGGTATCTGTATTCAGAATGGATATTGGTCTGTAGTTTTTTTTTCCCCTCATAGTTTTGTTTTTGGTATCAGGATAGTAAAACCCTCATAGAATGAAGTGGGAAATATTTCCTTCTTTTCTGTATTTTGGAAGAGTTTGGGAAGGATTGATGTTAATTCTTCTCTAAACATTTGATAAGATTCACTAGTGAAGATATTTGGGCCTGGTCTTTTCTTTGTGGGAAATTATTTTTATTATGAGTTCAGTCTTCTTACTGGCTATATGTCTCTTTAGATTTTCTATTTTTTCTTGAGTTAGTTTCAATTGTTTGTGTCTAGGAATTTCTCCATTTCTTCTAAGCTATCCAATTTTTTGGCATATAGTTGTTCATACTATTCCTTTATAACCTTTTTATATATTTAAAGTTGGTAGTGTTGTCCTTTCTTTCATTTCTGATTTTAAGAATTTGAATCTATTTTTATTCTCAGTTTAACTAAAGTTTTATCAATTTTCTTGAGCTTTTCAAAGAAAAGATAATTTCCACCCTAATCTTTATTATTCTTTCCTTCTGTTTGCTTTGCATTTAGTTTACTTTTATTTTTCTAGTTTTTTAAGGTTGATGTTTAAGTTATTGATTTGAGATCTTTCTTGTTTTTTAATATAGGTGTTTACTGCTATACATTTACCCCTGAGCACTATTTTAGCAGTGAAGCTACTTTTTGTATTTTGTGCTTTTCATTCATTTAAAAATGCTTTCTAGTTTCCATTATGTTTCTTCTTTGACCCATTGGCTGTTTAAGATTATATTATTTAATTTCCACATACTCATGAATTTCCCAAATTCCTTTCTGTAAATGATTTCTAATTTTCTTTAAAAACCACATTATGGTTAGAAAATATATTTTGTATGACTTTAGTCTCTTAAACTTGTCAAGGCTTGTTTGATGACCTAACATAAGGTCTGTCCTTGAGAATGTTTCATATGTGCTTGAGAAGAATGTGTGTTTTGCAGTTGTTGGGTGAGGTCTTCTATAGATGTCTATATTATGTCTAGTTGACTTAGAGTGTCCTGCAGCTCTTCTGTTTCCTTGTTCATCTGCTTGCTTGTTTTATCCATTATCAAAAGAGTATTGAAGTTTCTAAATATTGTCAAATTGTTTATTTCTCTCTTTTTATCTGTATGTATTCTTAAAGGTAACTACATGGCCCTTTTATCATTATAAAATATCCTTTTTTGTCTCTTTTTATCTTCAAGTCTATTTTGTCTTATATTAGTATAACTCTGGCTATCTTTTTGGTTGTTTGCATGACATTGCATTTTTTTCATTCTTTTCCTAAAACCCTTTTAGGGTTGAATCTAAAATACGTCTTTTGTAGAGAGCATATAGTTGGATCACATCTTTAAATCTATTCTGCTAACCCCTGCCTTTCACTTGGAATCTTCAATCCATTTACATTCAATATAATTACTAACAAAGGAGGATTTATGTCTGCCATTTTGCTACTTATTTTCTATATGTCTTATCTTTTTTTTGTCCTGTAACTTCTTTGCACCCTTACACTACTAGAAAATTTTAAATTTAAATTCCCTTCTCACTTTTTATTTTTTGAATTGTTTTCTTACTAGTTCCCCTGAGGATTAAAATTGTCATCCTAATTTTTAACAGTCTAGTTTGGATTAATACCCACTTAATTTCAACGCCATACTCTGCTCTTATATGGCTCCATTTCCTGCCCCTTACTTTTCACTGTTATTGTCATACAAATTGCATACATATTGCATCTCTATGTACTGTGTACCTGTCAACACGAGTTTATAATTATTGCTTTATGAAACTGTGTTTTAGTCAGATGCAGGAAAGAGTTATGAAAAACCATTTATATTGTCTTTTGTATCGACCCATGTAGTTACCTTTACTGGTGCTTTTTATTTCTTTGTGTGAATTTGAATTCCTGCCTAGTGTCTTTTCATCTCAGCCTGAAGCCCTGCCTTTGTTATTTCTTGCAGGGCAGTTCTGCTAGCAGTGAATTTTATGTTTTTGTTTATCAGAAGATGTTTTAATTTCCCTTTTAATTTGAAGGATAGCTTTGCTGGATATAGGGTTCTCGGTCTGTAGTCTTTTTCCTTTCTGTAATTTTTATTGTCCTACTGCCTGTTGGCCTCCATTTTTATTTATTTGTTTTTTTAATGATGAATCAGCTCTTAGTCTTATTGAGATCCCTTATAGGTATTGAATCACTTTTCTCTTGCTGCTTTAAAAAATCTCTCTGTCTTGATTTTTGACAGTTTGGTGATATGTCTAGTCAGTATAAGAAAGTTTATCCTTCTGACCTTTGCCGATGCTGCAATAAAGTGTTGTAATTTAAAAAAAAAAAAAAAGAAAGTTTATCCTTCTTGAAGTTCATTGAGTTTCTTGAATATCCTCATGAATATTTTTCATCAGATTTTGGAAGTTTTTGGCTATTATTTCTAGAAGTATTTTTTCTGCCTCTTTCTGTCTCTCCCTTCCCTCCCGCAAATAAAATATTACTTGTACATTCTTTAATATATTTATAAAGGTATATAATGTGCTTACACATTGTAATGAAGAGCCAACTCAATGGAAAAGACCCTGATTCTGTGAAAAATTGAGGGCAGGGGAGAAAGGGGCAACAGAGAATGAGATGTTTGGATGGCATTATCAATTCAATGGACATGAGTTTCAGCAAACTCCAGGAGATAGTGAAGGACAGGGAACTCTGGCATGTTGCAGTCCATGGGGTCACAAAGAGTCAGACACAACTGAACGACTGAACAACAAAAATGTGCTTATATCATTTAATACAAATTATTATGTTATCCAGAGACAATTATTTGAAATAAAATACAAATAAGATTGTATTCCAGATGGAATTTTCTTTAGAAGTTTAGATACTTAGGGGAGTTGTACTGAATAGGTAAGTGAGAAGAGTTCACCAGTCTCAGAAGCTCTCTTTTCTTTTTCATTTTGCCATTTTAGGTGTACAGAGCCAATGGGCCAGATGGAGCTGTTGGCAGAGGTCAGAGAATCCACCTGCAGTTATGGGACACAGCTGGACAAGAGAGGTATGAGATCTTTAGTCATGTGCTCTTTGCTGGAACAAAGGGGAAAAACAACTGCACTCTTCACACCGTGACCTGAGCAGGAAAAGGCCAACTGATTCATTGATGTGCACCTAGATAAGCCATGCTGCCAAATTAGCAGGAAATTTACCAGTCTGAAATGATAATAGTGGCTTTATTTCATACAAGGTCAAAGGGAAAATGAATCCTTTTAAAAATAGATGCGTTTACTTATGGACTTCTTTCTTTTTCTCCCCCTTTTTAAAAACCTGTATACTTGTCTCCGTTTACTTCTGCTGCTTACTCAACCACAAAGAAAGCTAGAGTTGCATGCCTTTTCCTTACCTGATTATTGGAACCTAGCATAAAAATCATGTTGGAATTAACTTATATGATCAGAGGTTGCTTGACGAAAATGTCACATGAAATCTTCATATAAAGTTACTTTTTCTGATTGAAATATAGTTGATTTACAGTGTTGTGTTAATTTCTGCTGTACAGTAAATTGATTCAGTTATACAAATATATACATTCTTTTTTATATTATTTTCCATTATGGTTTATCACAGGGCATTGAGTATAGTTCCCTGCACACTGTACAATAGGACCTTGTTGATTATCCATTCTCTGTATAATAGTTTGGATCTGCTAGGCCCAAACTCCCAATCCATCCCTTCCCCACCTGCCCCTCCCTTGACTACCACGGGTCTGTTTAAAGCTGCTTTCAGTTAGCGGCAGTTCTCTTATCTCTCACAATTTCCTTGAAGGATTTTGTTTGTTTGTTTAACTTTTTGTTATGGAAAACTCCAAGTATATACAGAAGTAGAGAGGCAAGTACAGTGAAATCAGGTACTGACTTCCCAGTTTCAACAAACATCAGGTTGTGGCCCATCTTACTTCGTGTCTATCCTTCACTTCTTCTCACCCCGCACCCCCCCACCACCCCAACCCTGCCCCACAGTTATTTTGAAGCAAATTCCAAATATCAAACTGTTTCTTTTGTAACTGTTTTGGTACATATCTCTGAAAGATGAGTACTTTTTTTGGTAAAAACATGGATTAGAATTATTTGAGAACACTTAAAATAGCTAATTAAAGAACATATTCTTAACCAGTATTTTCTTCTCTGGAGCCTGTGCCTGTCATTAGTGCATGCATGCATGTGTGTGCTCAGTTGTGTCCAACTCTTTGTGACCCCATGGGCTGTGGCCCACCAGGTTCCTCTGTCCAAGGAATTTTCCAGGCAAGGATATTAGAGCAGGTTCCCGTTTCCTATGCCAGGGGATCTTTCCCACCCAGGGATCGAAGCTGCATCTTTTGCATCTTCTGCATTGGCAGGCAGATTCTTTACCACTGGGCCACTTGGGAAGCCCAAATCCTTGGTGGAGAGGGTACAAAGAAAGGGGAAATTGAGTCTGATTACTGTCACCCTAAAGCCACCGGCCAGTGGAGAGCCCTGTTCAGTGGGCCGAGTCCCATGCTGGTCGCGATAACCTGAGCTGGCAACGGCCGACCTCGGCCAGACCTGCTCGGCCGACCTGCTCACCAGAGCAGGTGACTCAAAGTTGAGAGGGAGAATGAGTGGATCTGGTTGCAAGATCCAGGAGCCATCGGGTCCTGCCACTCTCTTGCAGGGAACTCAAAACTGGCTGTGGGGATGGCCACCAGGGTCGGGACAGCTGCCATCTGGGTCTTATTTCAATTTTGCCAATTGTTACTTTATAGAACGGAGAAGGCATTGGCACCCCACTTCAGTACTCTTGCCTGGAAAATCCCATGGACGGAGGAGCCTGGTAGGCTGCAGTCCATGGGGTTGCAAAGAGTCGGACACGACTGAGCGACTTCACTTTCACTTTTCACTTTCATGCATTGGAGAAGGAAATGGCAACCCACTCCAGTGTTCTTGCCTGGAGAATCCCAGGGACGGGGGAGCCTGGTGGGCTGCCATCTATGAGGTTGCACAGAGTCGGACACGACTGACATGACTTAGCAGCAGCAAAACCAAAGAAATGGTTCTCAGGGATAAGGGATTTCTGTAGATACTGAAATTAAAAGGTCATGCATGGAACACATTGTGATGTTAAATCAAGTCAGGCTTTCATAGGACAGGGAAGACACATACACAGCAAGCACTGTTGCTTTTGGCCTATTTAACTTTTAATTGTATGATAAATTCTTGGCTGAGACAAAGAGATCATGAGCTCGTTCTTGCCATCCCTATCCAGAAGGCTGGTTTTTCAAATCACATGGCTTATTAATACATAAATTTCTACCGCTTAGATAAATAACTTATTATACACATTTGGAATATCATCATCTAATTTGTTAAATTAAAAAAAAATGTTTTTATTTTAAAAGAAAATTCCAATAACTGATGGCATTTTAGAATGTCTGTATATGTTTTCAAATATTTTTTCTTGTTCTAAATACCTATTTACTATATTTTTAAGATACTCAATGTCATTGATTATGTACATAGTTTTACACTGTTGAAACTAACATATATAACATAATATATGCTATTATATAATAGCATAATTCAGTAAACCTTATGAAAATAAGATCTATGCATAGTGTGCATGTATAATGCGAAGTTAGTAGAAACAGTGGCATGTTGTTAAACATCTGACTTGTTATTGATGAACTGTTGTATGTTTCAAAGAATAGGGCTGTGGTTTAGGTGACCAATCTGCTTTTATGTCCCCAGGTTTCGTAGCTTGACAACTGCCTTCTTCAGAGATGCTATGGGGTTTCTTCTGCTTTTTGATCTGACAAATGAGCAGAGTTTTCTCAATGTCAGAAACTGGATAAGTAAGTAATATTGTCTCCCTGCCTGTTGCTTCCCATTCCCTGAAACAGAATCTCTCTTATATTCTACTTCTTTTGTAAGTTGTTTTGTGAGAGCTCCTAATGCTGTTTAAAATGCTATTGAAAGGAGCGCAGCTCCTTAGGTCGGGAGCAAACATGACTGAAGTCCTCTGCTTTCCCTGGCATGCTAACCTCCGTTTGTTGAGTGCATTTTGCACTCTAGATTCTGGAGTGTTTTCTGTGTCATCTCCTCACCAGGCTTTTCCACAAAGAGGACTCTTACCCCCGTTTTATAGATGAGGAGACAGAAGCCTAGAGAAGTGCTATCGAGTCTGATGCCATCCCAGGGTTCAAAGCATGTGGTACATTGACGCTTTCGAAAAATTAATGGATCCTAACCCTGTCTCAAGGTCTCTTCTGTATTTAAAGGGCCAGAGCACTTGCCAGGAGGATCTTGTCATAGAAACCTCTAGAACTGCCTTGGCCAGAGTGGTCCCCAGCACAGTATACATAAACCTGCATTTTGGCTCTTTGGAGACAGCCTGATAAGCTTACATGATTGGTTAGTAGTCATTTAGAATCCTGCTACTTGACGAAATGTACATTTTCCTCTGTTGGTTGTACTGGTGGAATTATAGAGAACCTACTGGGGAGGCCTGTGATGTTAAATTCCTAACAGCCAAATCTTCAGAATGAAAACTTATTTACAAACCCCTACTGCATAACAATTTCTTGTAGTTTCGGTGTTATGAAAGGGTAATGGGCTGTGATTTTTATAGTAGAAAGCCTTGTTTTTAAAAATGAGCCTTTAAATAAGTAATTGATGAATGCCTTGTGGTTTTCAAAACATTTTCACATAGTTTGTGTCCAGTCCACATGTTCCCCCCATGAGGAGATCCAGGGAGGTGGTGTATCCTCGTTTTAGGGTAAAGATGCTTAGCCTTGTGGAGTAATAGGCTTGCCCAAGGGTGTGGAGCTTTTGGCTTTTGATTCAGTGGCTTTTTATGCTCTTTCTCAACTAAGTTAATCACTAAGAGCTGAAGAGCTATTTAATACTTTAAATATAGGTTAGTCATGCTCACTGGGCCTCACTTTGTTAAATGCCTGTCTGAGTCACACACCCCTTTGGCTAAATGGCAGTGACTATTTCTAATCTCTTACCCTCGTTCCTTGCTCATCATCCTCTACTTTGTGTCATCGGAACCAATTCTGGGGCTTTCTTAAGCATTTTCTAAGGATTGTTGTTAGAGATGGGCTCATAGAATCTTAGCACAGGAAGAGCATCAAGCCATCTGTCTTTCACTGGGAGAAACTGAAACTCTGGACAAGGTAAATCTTGTCCATTTGGGCTTCATGGCTAGTTACGTGAAGAATAAAATTGTGTGAAACTCTGTGTATTATTTTGTGTTTTCCTTATAGTGTAAAAGAATTCTTATTGCCCAGTTAGGCAAAGAAAACATACATACTGGAGATTTCATATCTTCAGTGTAAAATATTCACTGTCAGAAAGATTCAATGTCAGAGGTAGTAATAACAAATCTTAATTAGGAGTAAAAATTTGTTAATTATATATATTTTTTATTTTTCCTCTGCCTGTTAGTAGTTTGAATATTAAGGGGATCATTCATTTCTTCTTTTGGGGGTCAAATTAAATATATATATTATACATTTAATGCATATTTTAATATTTAATGTATTTTATATGTTTAATGTACTTAATATATATAAATTATATATCTATATAAATTAAATATATATATTATACATTTAATGCATATTTTAATATTTAATGTATTTTATATGTTTAATGTATTTAATATATATAAATTATATATCTATATACACACACAAGCATATATATGTGTGTACACATAAACCAGTGGTGGATCGCAGAGCAGAGGCAGTATTGCATTGAGCAGGTAGCTGAGTCCTGGGTGCTGAAGGCCTGGGTGGAGTCCAGGTCTGCACCCTCCCTTTGCTTCTCCAGAAATGCACTGCAGTCCTTGCTCCCTTGAACCCACTCTCTCCTGTCCTCATGGGAGACAGGTAAGAGTCCCAAGTTGAGCCCTGCTGAGCTTAGGAGACTGAACTGTGTCCTCTGGGCCTGAATTTGAAATCACGGAGGAATCGGATAGTGCTGTATCACTCACCTGTCTTTCTGGAGCTTGAGGATGGGCCAGCTGTGCCCACAGGCAGCGTGTTCTGTAGGGGAACTCCAGAGTAGCCTATATTTCTAAGCTGCTCTTCTGTAGCCTCACAGAAGTGGGACAAGAGCCCAGCAAGTATATTTTTAACATCTTTTTGCCTTTATATTTTTATTCCAATTATTCCCTCTGTCTGAAAAGAGCTCTCCATACTCACTCCCATTGTCTGAAAAATGTAGAGTTCAGTTTACTCTTTAAAATCTGAGAAAATATGGCCCCCATGAAATTTTCTGTGGTAACTTTGTTGAATTAAATTTTTTCTCTCCTCTTTTAAAAAAAAGTTATTAAAATATAGTTGATTTACAATGTTGTATTAGCTTCAGGTGTACAGCACAATGAATCAGTTACACATGTATCCGTTCTTTTTTTTTTTTTAAAGATTCCTTCTCCATATAGGACATTACAGAATATTGAGTCGAGTTCCCTGTGCTATATAGCAGGCTCTTATTATTTATTTTATATATCCTATGCTGCGCTTAGCCGTTCAGTCATGTCCGACTCTTTGCAACCCCATGGACTGCAGCCCACCAGGCTCCTCTGTCCATGGGGTTCTCCAGGTAAGAATAATGGGGTGGATTGCCATGCCCTCTTCCAGGGGATCTTCCCAACCCATGGACTGAACCCAGGTCTCCCACATTGCAGGCATATTCTTTACCATCTGAGCCAGTGGGGTGTGTATGTCAATTTTATTCCTCTCAATTGGAGTTAAGCCTGTTATGTTTTGTACTACTTACACATGATACTTATCACATACCATATCGAGTTGTAGTTATTTATGTATGTGCTTTCTTTTTTGGTGAGATATTTTAAAAGAATTCATAAATTTATTTTTTGTATAAGTAATTCACAACCTTTGTAAAAAAGTTAGGAGAAAAGATCAAGTATCATACTTCCCAGACTCCTCAAAATAAATACTATTAAACATTGTTACTGGTAATACACAACATCTCTAAATGCTTTATTGTATTAACATAATGCTTTTCATGTGTGAACATTTGAGCCAGTGGGGTGTGTATGTCAATTTTATTCCTCTCAATTGGAGTTAAGCCTATTATGTTTTGTACTACTTACACATGTTCCTTATCACATACCATATCGAGTTGTAGTTATTTATGTATGTGCTTTCTTTTTTGGTGAGATATTTTAAAAGAATTCATAAAGTTATTTTTTGTATAAGTAATTCACAACCTTTAAGATCAAGTATCATACTTCCCAGACTCCTCAAAGTAAATACTATTAAACATTGTTACTGGTAATACACAGCATCTCTAAATGCTTTATTGTATTAACATAATGCTTTTCATGTGTGAACATGCATCTAGATTCCCCCCAGAGAAATTGTTAAAGCAGATTCCAGATCTCAAACCCAGCCTTCCTGCTTTAGTAGATCTGGGGTGGTACCTGAGAAGTTGCATTTCTAGCAAGTTTCCAGGTGATGGTTAGGCTGCTGGTCCATGAACCTTACCTGAAGATTCATTGACTTAACTCATTTAACCTTTGCCTTACCCCTGTGAAATAAATACTGTCATTGTCTTCATTTAAAGATGGGGAAACTGAGGCACAGAGTGGCCATGTAACTTCCTCAAGGCCACACAGCTAGTAAATGGCATAGCCAGGATTCAGCCTTAAACACCTTCGGTCCCGAGTTCATTCTCATAACCTTGACACTGAACAGACAAGGTGTTAACAGAGCATTGAGTCTCTCTGGAGGCCAGAGGTTTCACAGTGGGAGTAACTGAGAGGCAAGCTGTAAACGAAGTAGGGAATGGCCCTGAAGGAAGGCTGTGTTTGGTTATTCAGGGTTTAGGGACAGCGCGCATAACAGCCTGGAGGGTGGAAAGGAGGTGGCTGTTGGAAACGGTACCGTTTGGTCTTGCCTGTATAGGGGGCAAAGGTCAGTGCCCTGAAATTCTGCACCAGGTATCAGGCCTCCGTTATTGCTCAGTAAATTCTAACTGACTTGACTTTCTCATGATAAGATATAATGAACATGACTTGATAATGAGGAACTAATGGTTAACCATGATAAAAAATAAATTAGGCCATACATTTTTGAGGATGTCTTATTGTGCAAGTTTGGGTTACTTTAATTTCACTGTGAGGCATGATGAGTATGAAATAAGGCTTACTTTCCTTATTTGGGAGATTAAACTCTTTAGCTTAGTTGAAGTTCTCTTGCTTTAATTGCTGTTAATATGCCTACTAACAGATTTTCATGTGAAAAGAAATAGAAGCTATAGAGTGAGAATTGTAATCTCCTGCTTCTTGGGTCTGGTGACAGAATCACTGACTATATATTCTGGGTTTTCTGTCTTCATTTGATCCTATATTTCGTTTGTTTTAGATAAATTGATTCTGCCTTCAGTTCAGTTCAGTTCAGTNTCCACTGTTTCCCCATCTATTTGCCATGAAGTGATGGGACCAGATGCCATGATCTTAGTTTTCTGAATGTTGAGCTTTAAGCCAACTTTTCCACTCTCTTTCACTTTCATCAAGAGGCTTTTTAGTTCCTCTTCACTTTCTGCTATAAGGGTGGTGTCATCTGCATATCTGAGGTTATATTTCTTCCAGCAATCTTGATTCCAGCTTGTGCTTCTTCCAGCCCAGTGTTTCTCATGATGTACTCTGCATGTAAGTTAAATAAGCAGGGTGATTCTGCCTTAGGATAATAGAAAAATGTGAAAAATATTTCAGATAGTAATAGGTTTATAGAAAGACAGTTCATTTTAAAAATGTCACTGCTGTGGAGAGAAAATATATGAAAAACAGAGCTTTAAGGTTAGTCATGAATACTAGGAAATCCTCCAAGTGTGTGTGTGTGTGTTTTTTCCCAAAGACTCTTCATAAAGAAGACAGCTATGTGGTATATGCGTGTGTGTGTGTGTGTGTGTACATAAGTTTTGGAGGGATAACAAATTCTCCCATTCCTCTCCCATATAAATAAGCTGGAGTATGTGCATAAGGACAGTGTTAGTTTTACATCTCTGCCCCATCCATTTAGTTTTATAGCTTAGGGTATTGGTGCTTTGAAAGCATTATAGAGAATTATGCAGTTCCTTATATCTGTATATCCATTTACAGATTTAAATCAGTTTTGCATATATTCTCCACTGATCATAGACTTATATTACTTATCTATAACAAATTTTCTTATCTTCTTTTACTGATAGGCCAGCTACAAATGCATGCATATTGTGAAAACCCAGATATAGTGTTATGTGGAAATAAGAGTGATCTGGAAGATCAAAGAGTAGTAAAAGAGGAAGAAGCCAGAGGACTTGCAGAGAAATATGGGTGAGTATTTTTGGGGAGGAGTATACAGCACAAATTTCTGATGCAAGCATTTGCACGTGAATCGGTAACAAAAAGGACAAGAGCAAAAAACTGAGAGGGATGTAGGCCTTGGGGGAAGGTGTCGAACACCTCCTTTGCATATTAGTATTACATGATTTGGGAACCATAGAAAAAGCCATTGGTGAGGGCCTTCATTCAGTGCTTCAGTACCATTTTCTCAGTCTCTTGGTGTTTGAAGAAAAGACAGCTTCAAGGGCAAACACCCTAACTGTGTAAGGCCTCCTTTCCAAGATGCAGGTACAAGATGCCCAGGATAAGGAAAGTCTGTATATTTATTCAGTGAGGAAAATCCAAAGCCCAGTCCAGATTCTGCTTTGGCAAGTTCCAGGATACAAGAAGGCCTTATTGGCCTTGAAATACCTATGCTGGTGGAGGAGTGTGAAGACCTCCTTTGGTTTAAGCTGTGTTTTTGTTGCGGTGTGTGCTTAGTCGCTTCAGTCGTGTCTGACTTGAAGGCCCCATGGATTGTAGTCCTCTGTCTGTGGGATTCTCTGGGGCAAGGATACTGGATTCAGTGGCCATGCCCTCCTCCAGGGAATCCTCCTGACCCAGGGATTGAACCCGTGTCTCCTGTACCGCAGGAATTCTTTACCTCTGAGCCACCGGGGAAGCCCCATTTTTGTGGTGGAGAGTCAGCTAAGTACTGTCTTCCTCCTTGAGCTCGGGGGATAGGGTCATGTAGCAGCAGCATTAGTGGACATGAAAGAAGGGGCCAGCCACTGCTCACTAAAGTGCTACAGAGCAATCTGTGCGTACTTTCTTCCTCCAATATAGTGAGAATGCAGATGTGCGTGTAATAATGACTCTTATTATTAGTGGGAGACAGCAAGTAGGGTAGAGAAGGAAGGCGAGAGAGGGAGAAAGAGAAAGGGAGAGAGAAGGGTGGTGTGGGTGGCGAACTGTGTGTAGAGGCTGTTACTGCCTAGTGGCCTCTGTTGTTAGACAAATCCCAGGAAGCTATAGGAGGGACTTTGCCTTTTTACCCTGCCTTTCTCTTTTTTGGGCTGATGGAGTTCAGAAAGCACTCAAGGATGGGGTTCACCCTGGAGAGGGAGTGGAAGGATAGGTTGACTGGGCAGGAAGGAACCAAGAGTCTGGAGAGATTGAATCCTAGGGAAGAAGAGCAGACTTGATGTGTAGGGGCTCAGGAAGTTGCTGAAGGCCTTTGAACATGGAGTGCTCTTATGAGTACTTCCCCAGGTCAGTCTGGGGTGACGGGGAGGATGAGTGGAGAGCTGCTGGGCAGTCCCTGTGGAGGGTTGCTGTGTGTCTGATGCTGAAGCCCTCAGGACGGGCACTCAGAAGGGAAGGTGGATTTGATTTGGTGGAGAGCCAGAACCAGCTGGGACCATGGCCATGGACTGAAGCTGTGTCAGTCCCTGTTGCTTCTGACCGATGGGTGTCCTGGTGTCTGTGGGTGTCTGGTGGGTGTCCACCGGAAGCCAATGCTCTTTGCACAGAGCTAAACACAAACACACCTGGCCCAGGAGCTGGAGAAGCCAAGGGAGAATCTAGGGAAAGGTGGAAAAGGAGACCGGTCTGGTTGCTGGTTTGTGCCACTGAGATGAGCCAGCAGGTAAGCGACAAAATGCGAGAGCTGCAGAATGGCTGCTGCTTCACTTCTGCCCTGCATCTCCCCCCTGCATCTCTCTGTGGTCCGCCTTAACTGCAGAGGGAGTTCTGGGACGTGCTGTTCAATCTAGACAAGCTGCCAGATCATAAAGCTACCACAGATGGAGAGTGGGGATGGGCACTGGTGTCTTTTAAAAGCTCTCCATGTGATTTTTTTTTTTAAAGCAGTGGCCCCACTGACTTTTATTTATTTATTTGTTTTTAATTAATTTAATTTTTGGCTGCACTGTGTCTTCATTGCAGCATGTGGGCTTTCTCTAGTGGCAACAAGTAGCAGCTACTCTCTAGTTGCGGTGCGCAGGCTTATTACGGTGTCCTCTCTTGTTGGGGAGCACGGGCTGTAGGTTCACGGGCTTCAGTAGTTGTGGCATACGGGCCCAGTAGTTGTGGTACTTGGGCTTAGTTGCCCCGTGGCATGTGCTGTCTTCTTAGACCAGGGATTGAACCCACATCCCTTGCATTGGCAGGTGAATTCTTAACCATTGAACCACCAGGAAGTCCCTCCATATGATTTTTGGAGCAGAGCTTGAGAACCTTTGACTGAGGTGATTCTGAAGTGAGGGCTGACCATGCCCTGCAGGCGATTCTGATCACCTGATATGCCCACTTCTATCTTGATAGTCACTTTTGTATAGTAGTGGAAGGAAAGAGGGATCAGATACCATGGTGGATTCTAAAGTGTTGAAGCTGGGGGCTGTGTTGCAATGGGGTGAGGAGGAAGTAAGTGATGAAGCAATGGAAGCTGTGGACCTAGCTAGACCATGCTTTTGAGAAGTGTGTTTGCAAAAAAAAAAAAAAAATAGGGCAGCTAGGAAAGTTAGCTAGACCCAACAATTGTATTGTCAAGTGTTGGGGGGGGTCTGGATTGACTCAATCCCTCTCTGGGCTTTACCTGCCCTTTGCTTGTTTCCTCTGTGCCCATTCTCAGGATTCCACATCCTGCCCAGTATTGGAGAGCCTGCCATTACCTTCTGACTATATGGAGACTCTGGGTACAAAAGGGGCCGCCTTTCCTTGGTGCTCAGCTCAGAAGATCTGGGCAGTATTTCATAAGAGAGGCTCAGTGTGAAGTTTCTGAACTGGGTTAAATTGAGCAGAGGAGAGATTAGCAGATAAGATAGTGGAGGTTATTGAAGATGGGAAGGGATGGAAGCAGACTTCCCTTAGGATTTAAGAAGCATAAAATAGAGTTCTGTAGGCTGTTGGGAGTTTCAGAGGAAGGTGTAAAGGAGTGATTGGGTTCACATGGATTGGACAGATTTGACATTTAAGTTTAATGATTATTTTCACAGAAATCTTTTTTTTCATTTTTAATAGTTGTAATATTTTCATTGGTTGCACATACACTAAAAGACTATGTTGGTTAATCCATCTATGTGCTAACAATCAGAAAGCAGTAGTTTATGGGATATCTTCACATCATTTGTATGTTATCTAATAAATTTGTGGGTTTTGTTACTGTTGCATTACCATCTATCCTCAGTTCATAAGAATGGGTCATTGGTTCACAAGTGGCTCTCTGAAATATATATGTATTTAAGAATGAAAGACTATGTCTCAGAAAAACTTTGCAAACCTAATAAAAACATGCTGCAGTGCAAATAAGGAATATAAATGTGTCTCTGCTGGGACAAGTAAATTTGAAAATGAGGACATCATGCAGCAGCCCAAAATAGAAAGGGTGAATTGGATGCTTGATGATGAATATTTGAAAATTTATTTTTAGTAGACTAAGAATCCCTTCACCCCTAATCCCCTCCCCCCACCTTCTTTTGCTATAACATTTATTTAAATTGTAACATGAAGCTGTTAGGTCACTTCCTAATAAAACAAAGCAATGTGGCCCATAAACCAGCTTTTTTAGAACAACTACAAAATAATGCTTTCCAATATTGAATAATATTGACAATGAAATCAGAGAAGAGAGCAAAACAGAGGGTTATTCAGATTTGTACTTCTGCCAGTCAAAACCATGATATTCACATTGTTGCTGAAACACTTTAAAAAATATCTGCAAAGTCAGTGACAAATATGTTAGAAGAAAAAGCAGAAAGCATATTGGAAACATTCCTCTTTTAGATGGTACTGTTAGATCTCAGACTTAAGTGTGACCCAGCATCACCTGAACTCTGGGTCCCACTGAATTTCTCATTTATTGGGACTGGGATGAAGCCCCACATTTTACATTTCTAGCTGATTCCTAGATGTTGCTGCTACTAGTGACTGAGGATAGCACTTTGAGAAGCACCCGTGTAGGTGTCAGGTTACCATGAGCTGTGCATGCCAGCAGATATTTTCCTTGTCCACAAAACTGGACAAAATGATGGTGTAGCAGCATATGAAGCAGGTGTCTACTTGTGCCACGTTTGGGGAGGGACATGTGCTCACTGACTGATCACTGGAAAATCCATGCTAAGTCCAGGAAGATTTTTTCTCTTACATAGTTAATGATATCAGCTGTGCTATAGATGGGGCAGGGACACAGATTGTTACCAAGCAAGCACGAACCATAAGCTTATAGGCAAAGACTTCATTGTAAGTGAAAATGGTTGCATCTAAGTGTCCTTCTACCCTCTTCTTTACTCACAGAAGATAGTTGTTAGTCAGTATAAGCCTTTTGTTTTTGATTCAGGGTTAAGGGAAATAGAGGACATAATGAATATGATGAAAGTATGATAATTGAATGTATGTCTATCACATGTGCTGTGCAAAGAAATAAGCAGTAAATTTTCACAGATAAGATAAAATGGTCATTTAACATTGTATTAGTTTTAGGTATATGACTTAATGATTTGATTTATGTATACATTGTGAAATGATCACCACAATAAGTTTAGTTAACATCCATCACTGGCACAATTACAGTTTTTTTTCCTTTTTTTCTTTTTTGCTGAACCACAAGGCATTTGGGCTCTTAGTTTCCAGAGGAGGGGTAGAAACTGGACACCCTGCTGTGGAAGCATGGAGTCTTAACCACAGTACTGCCAGGAGAGTCCCCTGTAGTTACAATTTTTTTTTTTTCTTATGATGATGAGGACTTTTAGGATCTATTCTTCGGGACAGCAAATAGAAGAACACTCTGCCCACCTACCCCCCAACTGGAGACTACTGGCTAATGGGAAAGGTGCTCAAGAGTTTCTGGAATGGAGGATGTGTTAAAAACTTTTATTTACAACATTAATAATATGAGTACAGACCATTTCTGGTATTCCCAGTGGTTTAGCTCAGCATGCGGCACTCAGTATTTCATCTAGTCTGAACTAGATGAAATGTATGACTAGCTTTATCTCTGGTACTTTGATTCTTTG